ATTGTTCATCTTAATGCATAAAACTAGTTCAAGATTCTAATTCAGAAGTCAAACAACAAAAATCAGCGTTAATTTACAAAATTTTCACAGGACTAGTTTCAATGGTTTTACCGAACCATCATCTTCAGCTGCAAAACCGCAAATGAACAAGATGGGAAATTTGCGGTTTTGCAGCTGAAGATGATGGTTCGGTAAAACCATTGAAACTAGTCCTGTGAAAATTTTGTAAATTAACGCTGATTTTTGTTGTTTGACTTCTGAATTAGTATTTATTCGGCGTGTTATTGTGTCTTAATTAGTTCAAGATTGTTTGTTAAGTTGGTGGTTTGAGATATATTGCTATTAATGCCTTTTTTTTTTTTTTTTTTTTGCTCAGAAGCAACATGTTTAAACTATTTTTTGGGATCTTGTAAAGATAACTTGGTTAAGACAGGAATCAAAATACAGTGCATGCATTCAATTTGTTTCTGAGATTTCGTAGCTTTTTCTAGTAGAGCTTCAGAATGTCTTCCGTTTCTTCTGAAAGCTGCAGAATTCGTACCTCAAGTCTTCATTTTTCATCCACTAAGAGATATCTTTTTGATGCACCTCTATTTATCTTTGCTTGCAGTTCAGCTTCTACAGCCTTCCTTGCTCTTTCAGAACGGGCCAAATCTTTTTTTAATTACTTCAGCTTCTGATATTTTTTCTTTGTTCTCAGCTTCTTGGGGTTGTAAAGTGAATTTTTCCTTAGGTAATGGGAATTCCCTAACTACTCATTCATAATCTGTCATTTGAACCTGTAATTTTTTCAGTTGGCTCAGAGAACATTTTTCAACTTTATTGGCAATTTCTAACTGTTGTTTCTTATATTTGTAATCACTTTCTAACTTTTCCTTTGCAGTAATTGCTGCATGTTGCTTGCATTCATATTTAGGTTCTTCAAGATCACGAGTCTGCTTTGCGAGAGATTTTCTGTTTGCTTCATTTTGTTCATCTACATCTTGTAATGCGCTTGCATATTAGCATCCGATCTCAGTTTGGAACCTTTTGTCAATTATAATTAGAGTTCTTCTGTATGTTCTTCAGTTTCTTAAAGATCTGTAGCATGAGATGAGATTTTAGGTTCTTTTTCTGTGGCTTTACATTCTGCATTGGCCCTTTTGTGCCCAAATTGTTCAGATGAAGCTTTCTCTTCAGCAAGCAAATGATTGAACTTGCATTGACACTTCCCAAGATGAGATACTTTAGCTTTTTGGTTGTCAAGCTCTGCGGTTAAATCTTCAATCTTAGACTGCAATTTCAATTTTGATTTATACAATTTATCATGGATACCTGAAGTTCATCTAATTGATGCTGCAGGACGTCAACACCTTTAGAAAATTTATTTTTCTTTTCTTCTAATGAAGCATCTACGTCAACTTTTTCTTCAGCTTTTTTCTTGTATTCAGTAGTTTAAATATTGAGAAGAGATGCTTGCTTGTCTACTGCCTTCTTTTCGTCTCCTTTCTCATGAAGATTCTCTTGCAATGATTCTTTTAACACCATTCTGCTGTTTTCTAACATCTGTGATGTAGCTTTTTGGGATGAAGATTTAGCTGTTAATTCTTCAGAAATTTGTGTTTCCATTAATTTAATACCATGTTTTAATAGAAAATTCAGCTTGTTGGATACAATCACTTCCAATAAGTGCATCGACATATAATAAGTTGCCATCAATAAAATGAATGGTAGTTTTAAAATTTGTGTTTTGAATTTAGAAGCTACCTGTAAAATATGCTACTGGGTGCACAGTGTAGTCACCAAGTTCTGATAATGAAGACTTTTGAAGTGCTGGAGAAACAAATTTTTGTGTGTGTGTTGGTGTATTCATTATAGTGGCTTTGACTACTAGTGTCAAGTAATGATAGCATCAGAATATTGATTTTGATCATCATAGAATGAGGCTTGATTTTTTGTGATAATGGAGGTAATGCAAAATTATATTTAGTAAAAGTAGATGATTTATAACCGAATGAATTACAGGAAACACATTTAGGTTGTTTATGAGAACAATTAAACTTTTATGGCCTTTAGGCTCACAGTAGTACCAAACCATAGGTTGGGTAAACTTTCACAAAATTTTACTAAGTGATGAGAATTATATTTGAATTTCAGGTCACTGGAAAATATAGTATGTTTGATAGTGCATACAAGTTTTTCATAAATCTTTAACTTATCTTTTAATTCACGTAGTTTTACAACTGTATAATAAAAATTTGTTAGGGCTGTCTGGAATACCATTTATCACATAATTAAAAATAAAAGATATAGAAATTTTACCTCAGGAACCGTTTTCTCTTGAAGCAATAAAATAATCGAATAAGGATTCATTTGGCTTAAATGTCTTTTAAACATCATTTTATGCAAATTTGCACTGTTCAGTTTAGAGGAAATTTCTTCCAACAAATATTCTTTTAATACAATAGAAGTTTTGATACCCTTTAAAGAATTTACAGAAGTTTTAGCAAAGCCCAATAAACTTTTTTTTTTTTTTTTTTTTTTTTTGTAAAAATAATCTTGTGAACATTCCTGATTCTATTCAGTTGAAATGAATTCTTTTATTCTATTTAAAAAATATTCTTTTTAATTATCAGAAGAACAGTCAGAAACTTTAATACAGTTCTATAAATCATGGAAAGTTATACTGAATTGCTGTTTGTATACCATGTATGACATTCTATGCATATTATTTGTTGTATGTTTATATAAACAAGCATCTGAGCTGGAGAATTGCACATCTTGGCTGGCTGCCAAATTCGAACAAGTTGTTAAAAAAGGGAAGTGGTTTGAGACTTCATTTTATTTTTGGGAATTATATTTTCTTCAGGGTTTTCTAATTCACCATCAGAATCAGGTACTGTTGTTTTGAATAACATTGAAATTAGTTAAAGCATTCAGAATGGTATTTTAATAGTCATCAGTGAAAGTGGTATATTCTAAATTCAGAATATTAAGAATTGAAATTAGATCTTCAAGTGTGAAAATATTTAATAGGTTTTCCTTAACTTCTCTGAGTTTGAAGAGCATCATCAAGTCCGATGAATTCATGAAGTCATTTACAACCTGCATGGTCACCTTCTTGACCAAACAGAAATTTATGTAGTAGCTTAATTGCTTTTGTTGAAGAAGATTTTAAAGATTTAGCTGTATGTAGTATTTCATTTCGAGTTGACATTCTCATGATTTAAATATTTCTAGGAACACAAAATAGGTGTAAGAACAAATTCCAAGAACACAAATGAAGAACACATTAGTGCAGCAAAATTAAAAAGCAGTTCCACTTTCAAAATAAAGTCCTGGTTAAGTAAGATTTCTGGTGGTAAAAAATAGTTGGATTTCATCAAAATTCAATTCAAAAGATTCTGTAATTAATTCCTAATGAATAATCAAGATGCAACAACAGCTTATTACATGTCGAAGCAGGCACACTTCTTTTTATTTCCCACCATCCTTCTACATGTGAAAGGGGCAGTCATGTTCACTTGCTGTACTCTGTGAATACAGAAGAGAAGAATCTTTTCCATATTCTTTATTTTTCTTATATATATATATATATAACTTTCAGTTATCATAAATTGAATAAGTCTTAGCTTGTTAACTGCTTTATTAGTCATTTGGTTTATCATAAAAATTTGTTTGTCATTATTAAACCTGCCAAGATATGAGTATTAGTTCCTTGGCAGTTTGATTCTATGAGTTTTAAAATGTTGATATAAATTGTATTCTTTAAGTATCCTAATTTCCAGTCATATAGTATCTTTCATCTGTGGGATAACCAGTGGTTGGGAATAAGAATTCCTGTGTTTTAATTGCTTGTGTACGAGATTGTTAGGTACATCCTTTTAATGGTATTATTGTTGTAGCATGAAAGTGGTAATTGTAAATTTATTCATTGTTGTAGCATGTAAAATCCGTTTATGTAAGAAATTATTTAAACAGATGGTTAAATAATTTCAAAATTATTGATATATTTGGACATAGAAGATATTCCTGTAATAAAAAGACATTGAAGCTGAATCTAATGTATAAGCAGACTTGTGTAAGTTGCGAAACATTGTATTTTTGCTGCTTGTTTACTTGTCTGTACATTAACTCTTTCGCATTGAAGTCGCCCGTAACGCCTGTTTATTCAGGCAACGGCAAACCGCCCCAACGCCTCGTTTATTTTCTACCTAGTTCTTTCCTTTCCACGTTAGTGTATGGCTCATTGGTTTTGCGAGTTGTTAAAAGACATGTCAGTCATTCTTTTGAAGCAAATAAAGGAGAAATACGGAAAGCTATTGACGTTCGCAGGTGCAATCCGGTCCTAAGGTGAAACTGCACACAATGGATGAAACCGCAGGAGGAAAGGAAAACTATTCCAAGACAAATTCGTAAACACGGGCGTTTTCGATGTTTGTTGAAAACAGATTTGGTCGTCTCTCGATGCGAAAGAGTTAAAGCTGAATAATATAATCCTTACTTTTAAACTTCTGAAAATTTCTTTCAGATTTGTGGTAATATTGGGTAGAATTTCAGCCTTTTTTAATTTTACGGTACATTTCATGCTTAGTTGGAGGGATAAAGGATTGGTTTAACAGGAATCTAATTTTTATGTTTGTGATATTCATTAAACAGGGAAACTTATCATGCAACTCTTTACAAAGTGTTCAGTATTTATATGGGACAAAGAAATGACTGTATTGAACATTACTGGTAGTTATATGTTACCTTTAAGGGCACCAACTGTGCACAGAATACCAAAATTATCTGAACCTAGGATGTGGGCAAGTTTCAGTTTATTCAAGGGTTAAGATTGAGGTGAATTAGTAATTTTTTTCATTATTTTTACAACTGATTTTTAGTATTGCCTGCCAAAATAGGTGAATGAGTGAGTATAGGTATTTATGAAATTTATTATGAGCTAGTAATTATAGTAATTTTTTAATGTATTTATATATATTATATATATATATATATTTTTTAATCTAACTTTAAAGGAAAATGAAAAGAAACTTCCAATTGGGGACTGGTCTGAGCACATCAGCTCCTCTGGGAAGAAATATTATTATAATTGTAAAACAGAAGTTTCACAGTGGGAGAAACCAAAGGAATTGATTGAATGGGAAAGGTAATTGTCTTCTTTAATATCTTTGCATATTACTATTGCTTATAAGAAATTATCAGTTACTAATTGTAATTTGAAACTTCTCGACCTCATGTCTTGTGGTATGTGAATTATGTGTTATCTATATGCATATACATTGCTAATTTTAAATGATAAAGTTCCTGCTTTAATTAAGCTAATTTTCTTTTTATGAAATTGAATATTTTAAATTGGTATGCGATTACCATACCTTCATTTTTATCTGAAAGAGAACCATGTCTAGATTTAAGTGCTGTTCTATTCTTTTATTCAAAGTTGTTGAACTGTATACTGCTAATGAACAAATTTATTCCCCAAGTATATACAAAAAATGCCACTAGAAGGCTGTGGTGTTTAGGTGTAGTTAATGACATAACAACATGTATACACCTCACTTTGAAATTTCAAACTTACATTTACATTACAGTTCAACACTAATACAATTTATAAGGAAGTACCCTTCCTTTTTTTAAAACAAATAAGGAGCTTAAGTGAATAAAGTCAAATACGTTAAAAGATAAACATATACAGATGCAAATACACTATTACAATCCATGGAAAATGGAAATTCAGTCAGTCATTGGAAGCAAACAAATTTGGTTGAGACCTATCTTGAAATTGCCTCAGATGTTTTAAGTAAAACTAAAGCCTTTCTGTCTGATCCCTTTATTCTTGTATATAACCTAGCTTCCATTTATATGGTGGTAAATTAGTATCCTTCAGTAAAACCATATTGTTTGGACATCTTAATCAACTTTTCACTTTTGGAGATATAAATTCTTTCGTTAAATGGTTCTAAATTTAGCAACTTATCAGCATTTTGGCGATTTTAAGATCAGTTTCTATAGAAAAATTTTAATTCCGAGATCTGGGAATTTTTTGATGATTTTTTTAAAAAAAAAACATTGTAACATTGATAAATTTCATAAAAATAATGGTTATATTCTTCAAAGATTTGCACAGTTATTATTATTTAAATTTCCCGGTTGTTTTGAATATCAGCCATTACTAGAATTTCCCATTTCTATTTCCTCACAAGAATGCAAATTGCTTAGATAGTTTTTAAACTGCGGTTTTTGGAAAGTCAACATAAAGCTGTTAGTAAAACATAAATAAAATATAACTTTTCTTCTTTCAAATATGTCCAATTATTATTAAGTGTAAAATATTTAATGCTATTTGATAAATTTCATAAAGTTTATTTTCAAACTTGTTAATAATTATGTTAATTAATGTGTAATAATAATGCATCCTACTTATGGATCTATTTTATTTTTAGGATGATATTATAAAAGTGAAGTTTGGGCATAGATCATATTTTTAATTGAATTTATTCAGTTAACATTTACACATACGTCCTTAATTTTTTTTTTCCTGAAAAGTCCTTAAAAGTACTTAATTTTCATGTGCAGAAATCTGTATGAATCCTGTACAAAGATTTGAGACTTAAATTGTTTTAAATGTCCCTTGCATTGACCCTTGTATTTAATGAAAAAGGGACCACAGAAGCCGATTCCACTTATAAAAATGAGGACTAGGGTTAACTCTCTCTGCAGGCAAGTTTTCCAAAAGTTGCTCAGAGGTTATAGTTTTAATTTTAAAGCACGTTATGCATTCATTTACAATTTATTGAGCCAAATTTCTTCCACCTGTTGGCCAAAACTAGAAAGCAAAAAATTGGGATGCTTTTTGTTTTGACCAAAGTCTGCATTTTGTAAACATCCACGTACGTGAAGAATCTCATTGTCATCCAAAAAGGGGCTCAGATTACTTAATTTACTATTCTTTATATTTTTGTTCCTTTTTAAACAAGAAATTTCTTCACAAAATTCATTTCTTTATACACGAAGAATCTCATTCTCATCCATAAAGGGGCTCAGATTACTTAATTTACTATTCTTTATATTTTTGTTCCTTTTTAAACAAGAAATTTCTTCACAAAATTCATTTCTTTATACTAATCTTACCAGTGCATCTGAAGCTTAGTTCAATTCTTCTACTCATAACTTACCCTTTTTGGGCTGCATAGGATGTTTCATGTTGTGGGAAATCTGAAAATATATACGACAAACTTTAGTGAAATTATTACTTAAATGATCAATAAAGTCATAATTTGAATTAATAAAATTGGTAAGCTAGAAAGTTTTAGTTCTTCAAAGTTCTCATCCACTGGTTTTACACAGTGGCACTTGAAGGTCAAAGGTCAACCAAGGAGGGCCGCTGTACCAAAAGGAATTGATCAACAGTTCTGTCTCTGAGATACCTCTGGAATATTATGTCTGCAGGATTATTGGTTGTTGGAACAAACCTCCAGTCAAAATTTGGGCACGAAGAATTAATCAGTTATTCCGATCTGACACGGGGGTTTTTCCATCTTTCAGGAAGTGCCTTGATGCAGGCTAACGTAACCGTTGAATGACTCTATAGATAAATGTGGTTGAATTGGATTTGAAGAAGTAAAGGAACCTTTGCAAAGTTTCCAATTGTGGAATGGTTAGAGCCTTAATTGGGAAACTCTCTTGATTTGTTTCACAGTAGACTCGTCATCATAGCTCCATTTCTGGCCTTTGAGATGATATAAATTACTGCACCGAAAGTCTTTTTGTATGCTTTGCAGAATCCATGAAGATTAATAATGATGGTTTCAGGTATAAGAACGGGTGTAGAAATTTGTAATAGATCCTTTAGAAATTTTAACCAAACATTTAACTTACTTGATAGAATGTGATCATTCCAATTGAGTGTATTCTTCCACATTTCTTGAAGAAATATTTTGGCCTTGGTAATAAATGGACTGACTGACAAGACCCAATGGTTTCAAGAGTGAAGTGATGGTTGAAAGGACTTCACGCTTTGTAAAATTATCAAACAAATAATTTTACAAAGATACCTTAAAATTAAATTATCTTAAATTGTTCAGATACCTTAAAATTAAAACAGTCTGACGAAGGTTGCCATAATAAACCAAAAGTCTTAACTGTAGGTTAGTTTGATGAGAATATGTATTCTTTGATTTTATTGTCATTCAACACCTCAGGATGATTGGAAAACCACTTATGCAACGCCATAGCTCCTGGAGCTAAGAGGTTTTTTTAACTCAATCTGCAAGTTCTTTGTTTCTTCAAAATTATTTGATTTGGATAAAATGTCATCAACAGACGTATGACAGATGTATGTGTCATTGATTAGTAGTACATTTGAAGCCGGATGAAATTTCCCTTGTTCTCCTTCAGCTAATGCTCACAGTGTTCTAGTTGCTAAAAATGGAGCACATGATATTAAATGAGTTACTGTTTTGAATCTATAGGTCTCCACGGGAGGAAACAAACTCGACCTCCATAATATTCATTGCAAATCTATCAGCTCCATCCACTAGTATCTGACTATACATTTTCTTGATGTTGACATTAAATACATACCTACCTATGAGTGCGAAATCTGGCCACAATGGAAAATAACTCTTGTTGTACAGTTCCTCCATTTAACAATATAGAATTGAGAGAAACCCAATTTCTTGATATATAAGACACATAAAAAATGATGTGATGCGGAGAGGAGTTGACGTATTCTCAGGATAAAAAATGGCATAGTGGGGAATATAATATTCTAAATTAGAACACATCATTCATAATCTCTGAATTCTTTCCATGTGATCAAGGGACGTATATTCATCCATAAATACCTTATATAGTTACGCTCATCTTTTTTTATCTAATTTCTTACAAAGTAAGTTAAATCGCCTTCTGTTTCCTTTGATGCTCCCAACACTGGCAGTTTATCTTAAGTTATTGGTAACCTCACAACATATCTTCCATTTTAAATTCTCTTGTGCGTAGAAATGAAATGCTCCTTACAGTATTGCCTTTCAAAAGTTTTGTCACTCACATTTTTAGTGCAATCACCAGGAAAGGATTCTGACTCAGACTTATCTAAATAATTATGTTCTGAACTTAACCCAGAAAATGATAAGAATTTGAATTTTTGATCAAACCTGTCACTAAATAACCAAGCACACTATTTTGTAACAAAAGTGAACCATCAAAGGACCTGAATTTTTCTGCCTTTGGCAATTCAAAAAATAATTCACACCCCAATAATACATGAATTTTTCTAGGTATATGAAAGGTAGGATTAGCTAGTTTTTTTTCATTTGGGAAATCTATTTTAAAAATATCAATTTTATTTGTAGGTGTAAGCTCCATATTGTGAGGTAAAATTAAAAAAGGGTAAAATCGTACACCAATCACCATCTTTATTCGAGATTTTTGTGACTGTTTTGTTTTTAACGAAATATTCGCCTCCATTTATTCCAGTTATGGTTTTTTTTTATATTTTGGTTATTCAGTTTCCCTGCATCAGTACCTTTAGTAGTTAATATATTGCAGCTGCTTCCAGAGTCCAATATTCCTTTTAATTTTAGTTTCTTCCCACGTGTGGTTTCAGTGAATTATGATACCATACACAGCAACTCAGTTTGTTTACCTTTGTTGGTTAATATGGCACCTAACACTTCGGCAGGCTATTGTTGAATTGAGGCATATGAGGAATTTTTTCTTCTTTCTTCTTGGCACCAGTTGTCGATGACTCGAAACAGCTTCGGAAACTTTGGGTTTTGAATCAACAAGAATTAAACTGTTATGATTGGAATTTTTACAGATTTTACATGTAAAGGTTGACTTGCATGGTTCTTTATGCATTTTAAAACATCTTGCACAACTTTGATTCTTAAATTGTTTGATTACATTTTGAGACACTCATATTAAGGAATTTAGAACATTTGTGTAACCAATGTTCCATGTTACAGAAAATACAGGATTTAATATTTTTTCTTTGCACTTACAATTAAACTGTAGGATTTTATATAGCATTGACCTGAAGTAATATTTTTATGCAGTAATGGTTTTTGGTTAGTGTTTTTATACAAACTTTCTAATACTAAAGTTCTGTTTTCTAGAAAGCTTAAGAGTTCATCTATAGTGGGTACTTCTTTTGTTTTTAATGTCAACTTAAATTGTTTATGTGTTTTCTAATCAATTTTTTGAAACAATATATTAATATAGCATCAGATAAGTTACTGCGTTCAAATTCCAAAACTTTTAATGTGCACAAATTATGTTTCATGTTATCCAATAATTGGCATAATTCCCTGAGGGATTTATTGTTGATTTTTTCATGATTTAATATGTTTTGTATGTGAATATCAGTAACTGCTCTTCTATTTTCAAAATGAGTTTCAAGAGCTTTAAGAAGTAAATTCTAACTGTCTTGATCTGTTTCTGTTTGTTTGGTTACTTACTTTAGGACGGCCCTTAAATAATGGAGTTTTTGTTAACTGCTAAATTTGTTATTATTGCCAATTAAAGAAATAAATTGCTGTTTAAAGCTACTAAAATCTTCATGATTTCCCGTAAATATTGACAGTGTAATTTTAGGTAATTTTATGTTACAGAAAGTCGCATTATGCACTGCTACACCACTGTCTTTAATTTTTGGAGCATTATTTGACTTAAGCATTGAAAGAAGGTATTTAATTCTTACCTCCACATTCTCCAGTGATGAATCCATTCTTCCATATTTTTAAAGCCTTCATCAATATCTGTCTTTTCATATCCTCTGCAATAGTCGTTGTAGAGGTGAGTCATGGCAACTTTTAGTTCCATGCCGTTTTCAAATTTTACTTCTAACTCAACTGAATTTCCTTCGGATTCTTTGACGTTATTCACTAACTTCTCCAGTGTTTTGCTTTTTAAAATGCCTCTTTGCCGATTTAGTTGTGTTTATTTTATTTTTATCCACTCTTTATGGACTGTATACTGCTAACAAAAAATTTATTCTCCAAGAATATATAAAAACTGCCACTAGAGGGCTGTGGTTCATAGGTGTAGTTAATGACTTAACAGTTGTCATTGGGGGGGGGGAGTGAAGAATGTATAATTTTTTTTTTTTTTTTTTTTCCATGAGTGCACGTGTGATCCTAATCATAAGCATAAATATACTTATGTAGTTTGAATTAGCAAGAAAAAAACATGGTTTGTATTGTTCTACTGTTCCTTGAAAAGGTGCACAGTATAATACAAATAATGCAATTTTTTACATTGTCTGTCATTGCTCAAGGATTGAAGTAAAGAGCAGCTCTTTACTCACGGGAAAGAGAAATGTATAGGTATATGCTGATAAAGACATAATTTGACTAAACTTTACCATTTTATGTATGTCATATGAATATTACATTTGATATTTTTGAGATGCTAAATGCTGATTTTGCCTATAAATATGATGGCTTGTTGTATGGTATGAATAGCAATGTGTATGATTCATAAAACTTCGTAGTGATGTGTATTTTAGTGTTTTATTCTATTGGTTTTAGAAATGTAGTTAATGTATTTTGAAAGTATTTAAATTTTTAATAAATTATCTTTTCTTTTATGGTGTTTTGTAGCAAAATTTAGAAAATATTATTTTATTTATAGGCAGCAGAATTTAAGTCGTCTGTCGTATGACACCAATCGTTCTAAGGAAAGAAGCCATGAAAGAGTGAGTGGAGCAGGAGGAAGTAATAAAACTAAGAATGGTAAGTCATTGATTTAAAATTTTTGGAAGTGACTCGAGAAAATTGAATATGCTTATGCTTAATGCATATTAACTGTTTAAAAAATGAACATTCAGTGACAGTATTTTCACTAAATAAATCTAGGGATGAATCTTGCATAATATATGGAAGAAGAAAATGTTTCTTAGTTAATTAAGATTTCAGTTTATTGAACTCTGCATTAAGAAATTATGCTAAAATTATCAAAATTGCACTTTTTATTAATTGAACTAATTTTTATATTAATGAAAATAGTTTGAATAATAATTATAAATGTGTTATAGTATATCTGTCATAATTATAAATTTGTTGTATTGATAATGAAAATAGTTTGTAAATATTAATTTTTTTATGATAATGAAAAATGTCTTTTTAGGTGAGAAAGAAAAGCGAATTAAAAAAAAAGGTAGAGTTCCTATGTGTTACTTGCAATTGCCATGATTAGTATGACCTTTTACCTTGCATTAAATTACACCCTTATTAATAAAAATCCTCTGGTATCCTTGTAATTTTTTTTTTTTCTATTGTAAAGCCATGTCCATTTTAAATAAACTCTTGAAAAAATATTTTACAAATTAAAGATATATCTGTGGGAGGAATGGCAGTTATAGCTTTGGTACATTTGATCACAACTGACTTATTAACTGTACAATTTTTAATGTAAGCAGTTATTTTTACTTTGCTCATGTACATAGTGTGTACTAACTTATGTACTAATGTACATGCATGCAATATATGCATACATACCTACACACATACATATAAATGCTTCCAACCTTATAATGAGTTATGCTGGGAAGGATCAGTGAATTTGTAAAATATTATTAGGTTCACTACACATATTCTAACGATATTCCTGACATAAGAGCCATAAATGCTATTAAATAAACAAGTAAAAATGCTAAAAGTGAATGAATAATACATTTTAAATTTTAAGTGCAACTCTATAAAAAATTATAAATAAATAATTACTTTACAGTGTGCAGCTAGGATTGTTTTTGAAGCATGAGTGAATAGGATGGATCTAGTAGATCCCTACATTGATGACATCTGAGTCAGTGTCTGACTCACCCTTTAAAGACTTATCTTCAAAGGGTATCAACAAACAAAGAGAACAATTGTTATGATGAGGCTGCATGAGTTATAGAAGGAATTGGCAAGTCAGATGTGCTGTCAACGATTTCTGAAGTGTCTTTCTTAAATATATATATATAGATTTTCTTTTGTTGTGAATAATATGATAGCATTATATGACATTGTGTTACACGCTTTAGCAAACTACTCGGAATATAGTTTTAACTTTCCAAAAAAATTGTAACATTTCATTCTTTAAGAATAGGTTTACTAGGAGTCTTTATCTTAACATGTTTAATTTTCCTTTGTTTTATCTTCTTTTCAGTAGACACAAACATGGAAAATATCAAGGCATTTTCCTACTTGATATAATCTCTGTGGGTCCTTAATTCTGCTGCCTAGTGCCTCCCTAAATCCTAAAAGTTTTGCCATTCCTAGATTTTGTTGCTCGGTGTTTTACTAAATTTCAAAAATCTCACTATGCTATCTTGGATGCTGGATCTGACCATGTATCATTTCACATTTATTTTAGCAATTTCTTCTATATATTCTAAACACATGAAGTTTTTTAGAATAACAGAAATCTAATTAAATCCAAAAATTCTAAAATGAAGAGGAAAAAATTATTCATTAAAGGAGTATTGTTAAGGCACTAACAACTTACGAGATGAAGCAGAAATTAGTGGGAACATTGGTTTGTTTAATGAATCTTCTTGTTAAAAAAAATGCTTATGAAAAAGAAAATTGATATAAATTATCCAAATTTTCTGGGAAGTTTTCAAATTAAAAAGATCCATAAATATTTTGTTGTGTGATGTTGCTATGAAACAAAATGTTTTCTAGCTTTTAATGTATCATTTAAGAATCAGTCTCATAAATTACATGCTTTTTAAACTGGGAAATGTTCTTAGATTCTAGTTTTAATAGTGCTTTTTTTAAAAAATATTATTTATAAATAAAGTTAGTTTAATATTGGCTATGTTAATCTATAATGATTAAGGTTATCTAACTAATTCAATTATTTGTAACTAATTGCTTACCCTTAAAAATTATCTCTGCATGTTAAAGCGAGTTGTTGCCTTTCGTTAATCCTTACTATTGTCAGATACAATACAAAAAAGTAAAATTCCGTATAAAACTTATTCCTTACAGCTAGTCAGACTTAATACAAAACATTTAATCGCCTGTGGTGTTAGCTTATTAGAACCTTAACCCTTTGCAGCACAGTGTGCCCCGTATGGGCACACCTAAATTTCCTTCTGTGTGCACAGAAAAATTGAATGAAAAAGGACTTAAAGGTTACTATAGGTTAATCTGAATTTAAAGGTTACTATAGGTTACTTTTTATTTGTAGTAGATGGTAGCTCAACACAAACCAGTCCATGTACTTTAGCCATGTTTAGTTTTTTAAGACCCTAATTTTTCAAAGAAATCTTCCAGTTTCTTTAGGATATAAAAAGTGTGTGTGCCCACATCGGGCATGCCCAAACTATAGGACAACTGAGAGACTGTATTCTTTGTTTCTGCACATGTCATAGGTCAGTTCATTGACAAAGAAGGTGGGTCCACATCTGTGTTTCATTTCCTGTTTTCCTCTTTCTTCTTTTCTCTCTCTCTTTTTTATTTATTTATTTTTTTGAGGGGACGTTGGGTTATTAACTAACAAACAAATTGTTGGGGTGATTTTCTGAAGGTCAAGGGTAATTTTATCAGTTAGCTGTTTGGTTTTTCACTAGAGCAGTTCTCTTTTTCTCCTTTGCTTTCGTTCAAAGTTTTGCTAACACTACGTTTAGTAGTTTTGAGTTGTATATGTTTATTTAATTTTATTTTGCAGTTAATAATTTCTTTATTGTAGATATAATATTAGTTTATTTTTTTGGATTTTTAATTATTTTCAAACGTATTGGAGAGGGCTGACTATTTTTGAAGCTCTGAAAATTTTACATGAATTGCTTGAGATAGGGAATCTGATGTGGATCCAGGTACATGTGCAGAACATACAATATTGGGTTGTGCTTTTTCAAAGGTTGTGTCACTTTCTTCGAAAAGTACCACCATGAAAAAAATAGACTAAAGTGTGAAGTGTAAATAACGTAAATATCATATACCCAAGTTACGTTTTTCCGCATTCCATATGCATGTTATCATCATATAACCAAAAAAGAGCCTTTTCGGGGGGTGTAGAGTAGCAGGTGTCCCCGTGGCACACCCTAGGTAATGCTAAATCTGCTACGGTATTCATAATCTAGTGTTTTTTAATTGTAGGCAAAATCTCTTACTCTTACACACTTCCCAGCAATGCTCATTTCAGCACTCTTTTCGAAGCTCTATTCAGTCAGTGTGCCTGATTTGGGCACACCCACAAAATGAAAATGATAAGTGCTCTCTTCACAAAATTTTACTTTATCGAAATTCCAACTACCTACCATATACCCTAATTAGGCTGCCTACCTTTTTTTTTTTTTATCGAAATTCCAACTTTAAAAGGTAGTGTGCTGAAAAGGGTTAAAGTAATATATTAACTGGGTTACAACTACAGTAACTATGACCGAAACTTTGTCAGACAAGCATAGAGTTCAACACTTATCATATATGCCAACAGCAGGCATTTAGGTCTGTTTTGATCAGCAGATCTCTCTCTGGGCAAGGAGCAAAAGTACCAACAGCCAAGATTCTGTTACAAATGATGCCGATTTTACTTTTCATTTTAAACTATGCCGTTTGACATAAAATCTACTGTTTGACATTAAGCCTCTAAACTGAGCAAGTACATGAAAAAATGAGACATAAAAGAAAAAATCAACACAAAACTAGATGTTAATAAAATGTGACTAATCTTCATTAAAATATGTCCAACTATTGCAAGTGTAAAATATTTAATGCTATTTGATGAATTTTACGAAGCTGATTTTATTCTCGAATTTGTTTTATAATTACGTTAAGTATTAGATTATAATAATAATGCATCATACTTATAGATCTATTTCATTCTTAAAAAGGTATATAAATGTAAAGTTCAGATATAGATCATATCTTCAATTGAATTTATTCAGTTTCCATTTGCTGACAGATCCCCAGTTTTTTGCTCCATTCATGGTCCTTAAAGTCCTTAAAAGTACTTAATTTCAATGTGCAAAAAAAAAAAAAAAAAAAAAAAAAAAAAAAAGTGTATGAACCCGGATTGCAGTCTTTTTAAATATATTTTTGTCATTTGTTTTAGTAATATTACAACTATTTCTAAATAATAGTTTAGTTACACGCTGATAAAATATATTACTCCTACCAAATATTAGGCTTAATTATACACTGAATGAGCAAATGAAATTAAATTTGATAAAAGCTTTTTTTATTTATTTATTTTTATTTTCATTTTCCCATTGCTTTGTATAATATGTAATTTTAATCATACGTCAGTGTTATTTTCTAAAAATTATTTTTATACAGTTATCTTGCCTAAAAGAAATGCTTTCTATGAATAATTAAACAACTTAAAAGAAATTAGGGGTAATAAAAATTAAGCACTTGCTATTTATCTGAAATCATTTATTTATCTAAACTTTTAACTTTCTTATCTTTGTATTTGTTTATTTTGTTAAATAAATTCTGTGTGTATGTTTCCAGATTCTCATTCCCAAGATTCTGTTGAGAGTTCTACAGAAAACAGCGAGACATATTCATGTCACACAGATTCTGGAACTCCCAATCGGAATCAGACTTCTGGTACCCATTCCTCGACAACAAATTCAAGCTCTTGTCCCTCTAATGCTCAGGTTGCAGCCCATTTACTCTCTCCTTCTCAAGTGACATTATCAAATTTGCCCAAGCTGATCTCACAACTTGCTGGAACAAAGGGCCTGCCTAATTTATCTGAGCTGTCTCCTCAGGAAGGTAAACTAATAAAAGGCTTTCGTAATCTATTTCTTTTGTGTTTTAACCCCTTAACTGCTGCGGGCGTATATATACGCCTTGCTCAGCCGATGCGTTAATTGCCCCAGATGCACAGCCGATGCGTTAACTTTGCGAATAATTTTAGATGTAGCAGCGCAAAGCAAATGATAGCAGTTTGGAAGGACGTATATATACGCCTGGGGCAGTTAACGCATCGGCTGAGCAAGGCGTATATATACGCCCGCGGCAGTTAAGGGGTTAATAAAATAACATAAATTTGTTTCTTTAATAAAATTTGTAATCTTTAATTACTAGATTTCTTTGATTATAGCAAAATAATAATAATACCAAAAAAATATAGCAAAAAGAATATTCAAAATTTAGATTATTAATGAATATGGTTCAGATATTGGACATCTGGATCTCAAACTTTGTATTCCATAATTCAAAATTCATATTCCATAATTCAAAAACATTGCAAAATACAGTGTATCAAAATTTTCAAGTACAAAATAAGCAACATTATTAATTGGAAAGGGAAAACCATCAGTCATTACTCCTGTATTGAGAGGACTCAGAATGAGTACCTGGAAAATGTACATACTGTTTCTAATATTTCTAAAGCTAAATCATTGGTAACAAGAGAAGATCTGCTGACTCTAAAATCAATTGCAGAGTCTTTAAATACATCTGTAGCAACAATAAATAAAATACTAAAAGACAATTTATAACTCAGAAAATCTAAAAAAACACAATGTTCAGCTTTTGCCAAGGCATATGGCTCAATGCAGAACTGTTTGTAGAATGCTGAAATGGAAATACATTTTGACTCTTGATGAAGCTGAATGACTGCAGTGAAAAAGGTCTACCTATTTTTGAAAACAAAGAGGAAAAAATTTACAAATCTGATTCCGCTGAAGTAAAGAAAGTTTCAGTAAGGGGCTTATGCTTGTCACAAGATTCTCTTGCAGTAGGAAATTAAAAATAAGAAGAATGAGAAAAAAATTTTAAAATCAGCTCAATGTACTATTAAGGAAAAGTTTTATGACCAATGGTAACAGAAGGAATTCCATTCTTGTATTCCAATGACTTTCAAAGAGTGAAATTTCATCAAGACTAAGCAACAAGTCATACAAAGGCTGTTAACACATTTCTTGGATGATTTTTATTGTATTTACAGAAATATTTTACCTGAAGTTTTTGTATTTTAAATGTTCTGTTTGATAGCTCATATCCTTCACAAGCTTTCTGCATCGTAATTTCCAAGACAGTAAAGCTTTTTGTAGTATTGGAAGAGGTATATTCTTGAACATCTTTCTAAAGTCCAAGGAAGGTTGTGGTCGACATATCGACAATCCACCTTTTTAAAAGTCCAAAAGTGCAAAAACACTTTGGTGATACATCAGGAGATTAAGTAAGCATACAGAGTGGAGGAAATGGCCTTGATACCCGTTTCTCATTCCATTTTCTCCAGAAAGTTATCGGTGGATTTTGACATAAAGCTGCTTGCTTTGTCTTGATGGAGTTCTACTGATTGATGGCACTGTGGGTAGAAAGAAAGTATTTTGTATTTAAAAACTGAGTATAATTGTGTTCCTGATAATATGTGGAGTTGATCTTAAAATTTTTCTGTTCTCTATTTTTAATTTGCCGCTATATGAAAAATCAGCAAGAATCATAAATCCCTTTGAAAAACTTTCATTAGATTCTTTGAAGTATGTTTTAAGATATTTCTCTTCTCTTTGATTAATACACTGAAGATTCATCTATTGTGACAGCATTTTTTTAATTTTTGTCCAGATAAATGTTTCTCATAAAGAATTATGCAGCGCATTCTGCTTTCAGTGATATGTTGTGGAGAAAATCGATGTACATTACGTTTTTTAGGCTTTTTAAGATTCAAATTAGCATTAATCACTGTGTTTATTGAGTATTTTAATGCTTTTGTAACTGTTCTTAAACTTGGCAGGTTTTCTTAGAACATTAAGGATCTTGCTTTGGAACATTCAGAACATTCTGTTTTTTTCCTTTGAACAGTTTTTTTCACTTTAAGCCATACCTTGAAGTTTTTTTCCTTTCTTATTGATTGCATTACCTATTGTAGCTTTAGATATTGAAAAACCATCACTTTTACAGTGTTTTTAATAACTAGATAGTCCATACATATAGTAATTTTAACTTTTGTTGTAATATAGGGGTGTATAATTGATTCAGACAACCCAGCACAAGCTGCTTCATTTTCACTGTCTCGATTAACTTTTTAATGAATGTGTTTGAAAAACATGATAGAATGAAACACTGTAGGGGCGAGAGATGACTTTATCTATATATATATGGTAACTTATTGTAGCTCTGCACACAAATTATCTGCCATAGAAAAGATTTCTCAGTAAAAGGCCTCATAAGAAAAATTGATTTGCAGTCGATTTAGCCCTTAAATGCATGGATTTTCTTAAAGTAAAAGATACATTAGAATTGATATCAATTAAAATAGGAAAAATAATAAAATAAATCTAAACTAAGTTTTTATTTCAATTTTTAAAAAATATTAACTTTCACAAAAAATATGATAGGAAAATGTGTAATAACAATTTTATACAATAATACATACCTTATAAACTTATTCCAACAATTTTAAAACTTTGAATACGTCAAAATAAGAAAAACAAAATCAAAAATTCATAGCCACAAATGATGTCCACACCCTACACATCAACTCGCACAATAATGACCGTTGCACCTTTAGTGGTGCTACAACACTGAAACTTTTCAAAACTACATACATAAACAGTGTATATCCAATTGTTTACACTATACAGTAAGCTAAAATTTGTGTTTTGAGTTGATTTACATGGCTAAATATGAATATGTTGCCAAATGGCAACTACATGCATTTAAGGGTTAATGTTTGTGAGCATTGACACCATGTTGCCAACATGTTTACCTCAAACCACAGCCGTTATCTCTGTTCTGTGATTGTGTCTTGAAATGGATTTACCTGAACAACCGGACTTTTGAAAATGTTTGATAATATGACTGGTAAAATGTATAAATGTAAAATATTGGTATATGAAGAACTTCAGAATCTTTACTTCAAAGAATTTATTTTGAAAGTTTTATAAAGCTAAAAAATATATGAAAATCATAAGATTATAAAGAAACTGTAATTTTACCTTAGCATATAGATTTCATCTTCTGATTTGAAATTATTTTAAACTAAGCAATTCCAATAGATTTCAAAGCGTAAACATCTGAGGCATAAATTCCTGTGACCAGATGAAAGCCCATTGGGCAAAAGTGTGCATGACAAAAGCCTTCCTCCCAGAAAATCTTTCTGATAATTCCCCATGCGACACGTGGATGAAAGTGCAGATGAAAGCTGACACATATAAAAGCCTACACTTATAAAATTCTACGCTGATAAAAACCCACACTGATGCAAGTTCATAAAGAGTGTGTATGCCATGTAATTTTCCCATTATTTTTAGCATATACAAAACAAATTCATGAAAACATATAAATACAAAAATTATAAAAAAATATACAATAAAATAAGGGAACACATTTTATTTTGTACTCCAGCTGAATTTATGCCTTGTATATTACAAGGGGGATACAAGAAATAACGCGAATCTCTGTTTAAAACTGAAGAAATTCTGATTAGCAATTTCTTTCACACATTTCTTGATATGGGCATTTAACCGTATTAAAAATAATAATGAATAAGGAAAAAAATTATTCCCCTCTTTTTTTTTTTTTTTTCAAGTGAGTGCACCTGAATCCTTGAAAGTACTGCTTTACACTACTGTAGTTCAAGAATTAAAAAAGGGCTTTAAAATATTTCTTTATAAATGTTATTAATTCTCTTATATGAATAAATAATATCTCCCCCATCTTTCATTATTCAAACATACATATAGTCTTAGCCATATAATATTAAAAATAGCTTTTGAGGAACTTCACCTTGATATTTTTCATTTTCACATAAAAACACACACTAAATTAAAATAAATAAATAAATAAAACTTTCAGATTGATCATTGAAACATAATAGCTAAATGCGTAATCAGAAAAGTTTGTTTTTGACATAGAAAAAAAAAGTGATAAAATTTAATCATGGTTTTGAGGTATCAAAAATCAGACTCAGATACTTTATTTATTATAATTACAATAATAAATGCATTCTGTATTGATAAAAATCATGTGTGCTTTTGTTCATGTGATCTTCTTTCCATGTGCACTTTCATCTATATGGGTATTTTCACTTGGGCATTTACCATAAAGGGTTTTTTTTTGGGGGGGGGATTAGAAGAGGAGGCTTTTGTCATGTCTGCTTCCATTTCTTTTTTAGGAAACTAAATTTTACATGAAAAGATAGTCTTCCAGTTTCTTACACACAGAAAATTCTGCCAACTGGTCATGGATCTGGTTTTGGGTTGGATGTGTAATTCAAAGAAAAGATGTCAAGGAACAAATTGAAAGGGTCATTTCGGAACTACAGTCAAGAAAATAACTTATTCATTGCATTTTGGGGAACTTTAGAGTTTCACTGCCTAATCCTTGACTTTTGGAGGTTTAAGAATTAGTTTTCCAGAAGTTATAACTTTTTCTAACTCTATTTAGAACATGAAATCTCATATTGAAATAAATTGTACAAAGAGGCAAAATCAAATTGTAAAGCAAAAGCATAAATTAATTCTTTGTGAAGATTTTGGGATTTTATTTAAAAGAAAGAAACTGAATTATTCAAAATGTAGCTGTGCATTTACTTCAGTAGCTTGCTTGAAGGCACTTATTGAAAACAACAAACTTTTTTGGGAGGAGGGAAAGGTGCTTAAGAAAGAAATGGGGAAAAAAATTGTAGTTTCAAAATTAGGTCCATCCTAGAATTAGTTACCTTTTTGAACATCTCAAAACATCTGTTTTGAGGTGTTTATTTTTTTTCAAGTTTTGAATTCTCATTCTGGGAAAATAGAAGTATTGTCACTCGAGAGAAATATTTTTTCTAAGCTAGTGGGCAAGCAATGCGATGAAACAAATATAGAGGCTATTCTCACATTTTTTAGACTATTTTGTTTTACTTTTTTTTAACTGTATTTGTGAAAGTGTAAATTATCATCTGCTAATTAATAGTTTTGTTTTCATGCAAAATGTCATTTTTATAGAAGCAATGGATATAACACTATGTTTGTGTTCTTTCCGAAGAAAATTATTCGTATGTAGTTATTAAAAATCATTGTGAAAGCCATGGTTTTTTGATATCTTAAGCTACGATAGGTAATGTTGTCAACAACAAATGAAATAACGTAAAAATTTAACATCAAGTAGAAAATTTGTCCCAAATACGTATCCAAGGACAAAACGGAATGTTTTGAATTTGCAAAAGCAAGATATTTAATATTAAAGAAAATTGGACAAGTCAAAGGACAGTTGGCAAAGTCATTAAATTGCTCAATGTCAACTGTAAACAAAGTGTTACAAAAGTGTAAATTAACGTTGATTTGAATCTTAAAAAGTCGAAAAAACATAATGTGCGTCATCTTTTCTCTACGACATACCACCAAATGCAGAACATACTACAGAATTCTTTATGAGAAACATTTATCAGGACAAGATTAATCTTGGGTGTACTTAAATGACTACAATAAAAAGAGATCCATTTATTATCAACAAAGAGGAGGAGAAAAAATCTTAAAACATGGTTTATGAAATCTGAAGTAAGTTTTTCTGAAGGATTTATGATTATAGCTGGTTTATCATATAACGGCAAATTAAAAATAGAGAGTGGAAAAAAATGTTAAGATCAACTCCGCGCATTTTCAAAAATATATTTTGTGCTCAATTTCAAATGTGAAATACCTTTTTACCTTTTCTTTACACACAGTATGATCAATCTGTAGAACTGCATCAAGACAAAGCAAGCAGCAACATAACAAAATCTAGTGAATATATATAAGCACTATTATAATATTACTGAAATGTTGAGCACAGCAAAAGCACCATGTGTAGAGAATGAATATATATTTTCTACTTGGAATAGTATGCTACAAGTTAAGAAATCAGTCAGGAGTTGAAAAAGCAGCAAAAATTTTTTTTACATAACTGTTTTGAAAAAGATATGTAGGTTGCTGATTTAAGTGTCATTTACTCTGATTGCTAATTTATATTTACGTTAAAGATATAACTGCAAGAGAGCACTCCCTCTTTTAATAAATATGTGTGTATAAGTTTATATTTGAATTATTAATTTTTTTACAAATACCAAAAAGCTGCCAAAATATTTTATTGTTTTTATGCTATCAATTAATAAAATTATATGCAACTATTAATTATTATATTAATGTGTGCCTAAAATATTGTTACGAATTTTAGATTTAGGTAGATAATTTTAGTAGAATTATAATTAAAATTGTTGTATTTCCCCGTGCAAGACAAATTTAGAGAGAAACCTATGTCGGAAATATAAAAATACAGGAGCACGTGCATTTAATAAATAAATATCTCTTTAATTTGTATTGAAACTGAATAAATGTAATTGACCATTATTAGCTCTAACCGTAATTCCATCCTCTGATTGCTTTTCAGAAATATCGAGAAGGAGAAATTATTAGAAATATCCTGCAACTGATTGAAATCTATAAAAAGCTGGAGAGAGAGAGTGTTTTAGTTAGTTGCTTAGTTACTGTTATTGAGAATTATTTAGTTCTGCGTGGACTGTGATATCAGATTTAACTTTCTCTTTAGATGCATTTTGCATTGTTAATGTTTTTAGTAGTGTGAAGTATAACTACTGATTATATTGCGTGATATTGTAAATACTTGTACGAATATCTCTGAGGAAAATTCCAGAGTTCTGCTATATTTCTTTTGGTAATAAATTTTATTAACCTGTTATCGAACTTGTGCATTCAATCTATTACGAACCCGTATGCACATAACAATATGTATCATACTTCTTAATACAGTCAAAAGTCTTTAATCCGGACTCGTCGGGACTTTGACAATTCCAGATTATCGGTTTTTCCGGATTATAGATCATCAATTTAAATTTGGTAAGATGGCATGCAGAAATTATAAAATTAAAAATATGAAACCGTAATTTATGAAAAAAAGAGCAATTATGATTTAAAGGATATCAAAATTTACAAAAAAAAAGCTTAATATTTATTTGTTTACTTTATTAAACATTTCTTTTAACGCGCGCATGCGTAAAGCATACATTACACATAGTCGAAATTAGAAAATTGCAACCAGAAAACTATTTGATGTGTATTCGTGATATTTATAATGACGAGGAATTTGTTTTAAATCATATCAAAGACGGAATACATCGAGATGAAATACTACATTTAGTAAGAAATAATAAGCCAAATAAAATTAAAACATCTGCCCTGAAGATAAGGATAGTGCTGACAGATCAACTTCCAGTTCATTGCTCGCCGTGATGTCCCCCCCCCCAGCATAGCAGCGTGAAATTGATAAACAGATTTCGGAATGGTTAGAAAAGCAAAGGATATGCCTTTTTCCATTTTTTTGCAGAAATTCCACTTTTTGTTTGATGGACATCGAAACATGCTTTCGCTTTGTAGATAGATCCTTTGGATGCTCCAGAATCCGAAATTCTATTTGACATAATCGAAAGTTCAAGCTTACTTTTATAAAATTGCTCTAACAGTCTGCAAAAAGTAATAAGCCGGATCTAATTCGAAGATTAAGGAACAACGCAATCTGCAGCATTAACTGAAATAGGTAATTAGATAATTTTAGCTTAGCTTATACCGTCCGTTATACATTAAATGCACATGCGTAAAGGTATTATGAGCATGCGTAAACGCCTATGCACATGCGTGAACGCATTATGCGTTGACGCATGCGCAGAAAGTTTGTAGCTTTGAGGTCCAGATTATGGGTGTCCGGATTAACATGACTTTTGACTGTATCATCTAATTAGAAGTTTAATTACTTTGAAAAATCTTCAATGCATGATAATTTATGCTATTTAATATTTTATACCATTTAAAAATTTAATATAGAAAAAATAAAAGAATCTGATTTAATTTTTTTAAAAAATATATAACATCTTGATGTCAGAATAGATTATGGTCCTTCTTTTGGACTTATTGATAAATTTACATTAGGTAATTCTTTTCTGCTAAATGCAACTCTTCTGTATCAAATGAGGGAAAACAGTTTGATTTTTCATTATAAATTTTTAATTTTTTGTAGATAAACAGTTGCTTAGGAAATAAAGGAAGTGCATGAATTTTCAAGTTAATTTCGAAAATGAAATAAAATATCAGTAGAATATTTCATAGCAGTATGTTCATCCAATCTGCATTTTATTGCATTAAAATGATTCTACGTAGTGCTTTTTCCCCCCTAGGAGTACATTATAAACATTAAGTTGTGTATATGTTTAAAAGTTTAGTTTCTGGTTCTTGTTGCTTAATTGTTTGTATCTTTATAAACATTATTATGCATTAGCAGTTTTATAATATGGTTCAAATATTGTTGATTTATATTTCTTTCTTTCTAGCTTTGAGAACAATTCAACAAGCTCTGCAGTTAACTAAACAAGTTACTAATTTGTCTCAGACTGCAGGTGAGTTTTTATCAGAAATTTAACTTTATTATTATTTCTTTTTGTTTTCTCTCTCTCTTTTAATATGTGTGTGTGTGGAGGGGGAATTTTTGAATTGATAAGAATTTGGTTGGTTAAATGCAACTTTAAAAGAGCAAATGATGGTTGCAAGCCAATCTTTGAAAATATTTTATATGTTTTTCTTAGTAATACCCATCAAGATGATTAATTTTCCCCTAGAATAATGTGTTCAATATTTAAAATGCAGTTAAAATTTTTTAATATTTGCTACATATCAGTTGTATAATTTACCTAAGCAATTAGCAGAAATGAGAATTGCACTAATTTCTGATTTATGTGAATCACCTAATGTTTCTGTGTATTACCTAAAATTTTTTGCTCTAAATTTACTATAGAAAAGCAGTAAATCTGGAAAATTTGTTAAAATAAACAAAAGTAGGTTATAAGAGTAGCTGTATTGATCGAACACTGTCCAGATGTTTAGGAAAAGTCCAATATGATGTGCTATCAAAATTTCTCAGTAAAATGTCAAAACATTCCTGATTTTGAATGATAATTCTATTTAAAAGATTGATATCAATAAAAAAAGTCTTCAGATTTTAATAACTGGTACAATCCACATTTTGTATTTATTTCAATGAAAACCAGAGTCAGTGTGTTATCAAGAGGCTAAAGTTTCAGCTCAAAAAATGTTTAAAGAGGGAAGGATTAATTTTTATAATTGTAGTTGCAAAGTGCCCATGCGTCTTAGAATCTTTTTCTTATAATAAGCTGTTCTAAAGGTTAAATGGCAATTCAAGGTACTTATTTATCAAATTTTGTTGGCCATGTATGGGGTTTAAAGAGAAACCGGGAGTTTGCAGTTTTGCATCAAATCACATTCACCTGTACAAAAATTAATGTGAAAGGTGCTTTGACAGGATTCACTTAAAAATGTATGGAAGACCGGAGAAATAAAAAATAGTCAGCTGGAAACTAAAATCTCTTATCCTACAAAAAAAAAAAAAAAAAAAAAAAAAAAAAAAAAAAAAAAAAAAAAAAAAAAAAAAAAAAAAAAACAGTTGCAGATTAGTCCTTTCAGATAATTATATGTTTTATTGTGCAGTAAGTAAAAATTATTCTCCTTAAAAGGGAAACAGCTGAAAAATTATTATTTTTTTTTCAAAAAATATTTTATTCACTTCATATCTCATACAGTATTATCAATTGGTCTGATCTAAATAGTGAGCTGTTCTTCACTCTTTGCCTTAGAAATGTAATTGTTCTATTATCAGTCTTTAGATATGCAATTTTTTGTCAAAAATAACGCATTTAATGGTTATGTATTATATTAAATAATTATATTACTGTATATATGTTAGATAATATATTTCTACATTAAATACTTTTCTCCCTTCAGTAGAATTCTAAGCTCCTCAGTTTTATTTTAAAACTCCGTAATAATAATAATTATTATTATATGGAAAAAGATGTATGTTTTACAGAATGAATAATATTTTCTAAAGCCATATTTCTTAAAAATTCTGAATACTCTTGTATGGAGATGACCATTACCTACATACTGTTGTGAGCTAAAGGATCGTGGATGATTCTTGACTAATAAGTCCTGATAAACAGGAAGATATGAATAGTTTATTAGAAAAATAGGCACTATAAATTGTACACATAGCACAATAATGGCTGGAAATAACTCAAGGAGAATACAGATATTTAGCATTTCCTTCTTAAGACATAAAATAAATCATCAAATTCTTCAGATCACTCTCAAGATAAACACTAACTCGTAGTTCAGCTGATTGACAACTGTTTCAATATTGAAATCCCCATTCGTTGACTTGTATATGTACCATTGCAGCAGGGCCTCTAGAAACTTCTAGAAGAATCAGTCTTAGGTCTTTAAAATTGTGTTTTCACGAATCTTTTTGAAAGTCAACAAGTTGATGAAAAATTGGCAAATGTTTCCAACTCAGTGACAAAAATTTTCACCAGGCCTCCTTAGGAATGAAATTGCCTATATCTGGAATTCTAATTAAGCTGTTTTGCAATTCCAAAACCGTTTCACTCAGAATTAAATGATCTATAATTCTATGCAACAGATAAGTACTTAAATGCAAGACTTGGCCACAAATTATATTAAGCACAAACTAAACCATAAAATTACCATTATAAAAACAATAAATAAAGAAAAGTAAAAGAATGCAATGTACTATAACAACACAGAAAATGATAAATACAATAAAAAGAAGTAGAATAATTACAACATAGCCCTCTCCTTCATGACTGCACATGTCAGGCAGTGCAATTCCCAAGACCAGGGATAACTAATTCTAGTTACCAAAATAAGGTGCAGTGTCTGTTTTAGTGCGCTACTTTAGGTTTAAAATAAAGAATTCTTTATATGCATACCACTGCATCATTCTTTTTTTTTTTTTTTTTTTCCCACATGGTAAGGCCCTTCCCAGGATGTCTGTAAGCTTGAGAGATTCTGTGACGATGCTTTGTATTGTAGAGCCAGGCTCAAGCCTTGAAAAGTCTATTTCCATAGACTTAGCATCATATCTCGTCTTCATACTTCCAGTGGCTGTGTTGATCCTTCCCCTGGTGAACTGATAAACATCTTCTAAACATGCCTGCATATCTTCCAGGTATTACTCAGTCAAAGAAGGCATGTCTATGGCAGTCGTCTGAAGAGGAGGTCACATAGCAGAACTAAATTGCATCTAAAAATCATTTGTGAGGGTGAAAACCCACTCCTGTCATGAATGGCATTCTTGCATGTTAGCAGGAATAGTGACAATTTTTGTTTCCAGTCCTACAGGCTCTGGAATACATAGAGAGAGAGATCCGAAGATTGTGCGATTGAATATCTTCCTCCATGCCATTTGACTGTGTATGTAATGAAGAGGTTTGAGTTTTTTTCCATTCAAAGAATTCTACAGAGTCCATTAAATATGGTAGATGTAAGATTTCTTCCTTGGTCAGAATGAATAAGGAAGGGTACTCCAAATGGTGAAGTTTTCCACGGTTGTAGCTTCAGGGATGGGATAGGTTTCATACCATTTACTAAAGTAGTCAGTGACAACTAGGATCGACTTGTTACCCTTAGTTGTATAAGGTAAAGGTCCTAAAATGTCCAAAGTAGTCTCCTCGAATGGGGCTCTACATGGTAGCACTGTAATTTTTCTTGAGATTTCTTAATGTGCCTGTGGCCTTTTTCGTGCTCCATATGATTTTTACCATTTTCCTATATTTCATTTGGCTTGGTCCCAGAAGAAATATTAATTTCTATAGTGTCACCAAAGTAATCTTCATTAGGGCTGCTATAAAGCTTTGACAGAACAGTAGGCACTTGAGATGTCAGTAAAACAAGCTGATGAGTTTTATCGTTTGTTGTTTTCATTAATTCTGTAAATGTCTCAATTCAGGATCTTCCATTTGGACACTTCAGAATTCATTGTGTTCCAGAGATCAGTCTGTGTCAATTTTGTCCGACAGCTGGAACTTCAAAGCTATATTTTGACTGTGCTTTTGAGCAATGTTTGCACTTTTCTGCATAAGATCTTTTTGAAATTAGCATTCCCATGTGACATTCCTCTGCAGTATCGAATTTTCATGTCGTATTCCTGTACATCAGGGGTTCCCAACCCCTGATTGTTTAATGTGTGACCGCTGCTGTGCAATTACAATAAAAGTGTTTTCAATAAAAGTCTATGTGAAAGCTTTCTCATTTTTAATGAAATAGAAATTGCTTCCAATAGAGACACCAGCACAAAGCGAAACACAACCAATCTCTTTTTTTTTTTTAATGTGCATGTGTTATTAACTCTATCCAACTACCGCGTTTACTTGCGCAAGAGTTGCACTTCATAAAAGTGCAAGGCCTATTACTTATGTTAGCAAGCCTGACCAGCACATTTTGTTTTGTAAAGTCCACAAGAGCTGCTGCAATTAAAAGTCCTTTTGAGAGTTAGTTTTCTTCAGGAAATCAGCAATCCCCACATGTATCTTCTTATGAATTTTTATTGCAACGCTGACAGTGCGTTCCATTCTTGGATTGATAGTAATATTATTATGAACAATTATTGTGTAGCAGCACATTTCATTTTTATCTATGCCACACACTGGTATTTCTTCATTAGATGTAAATCAAGTCCAAATGTGCATCGATCAGTTATTTCAGCTACATAAGGGTACAAACTTGATGTGCACTATTATTTTTTCCGTGCAGTGGTATTTTTTTCTGCATTCATTGTTGGTATGTTCAAAAGGTACCTGTTCAGTCGTTCACTTCCCAGAATAGTCACGTTCACTCTGGTGTTTTCTACTGTGGGATGAAAAACCGTCGATTTTCCCATCCATACATAGTCTTTGATCTCCATCATGAAGAGAAGATACCGTATGTTCACGAATACCATGCGCCACCGAATAAGACACACCTGATTTTTTTCGATGCGCCAAAAAAGGAAAAAAAATGTCCATGAATATGGCGTGCATATTTTTATCAAGCTCACTGAAAGCTTAATTTACAGAAATAATCTTTTTTCTGCATTACAAGCATAAAGAAACAAAGGAATATGATACCGATCCCATGGATTATCAGGAAAGAATTCTGAGCTACCACCTGCAGCTTTTGCAGCTGCTGCCCAAGTACGTATTTACACATGCCCAGTAACATTTTAATGGGAAGGAATAAATCGGTTAGCAGAATTCAATTCTACTACAGAAGGAAAAACACTGCTAATCTAAGTATGGTATATAAAATTTTATTTGTTAAACAATAGCTTCAGTCGGCAACAATCTCTGCACTAAAAATATATTTCAAAATCATGAATGATGCTTTAAAGATCCTTAAAAATTGTCTTGGAACTAGTTTGCATACTGGAATTCTTTATTTTTTATGCTTCTGCCAATGTTATGACTAAAAAGCCAAGTTCGGCAAAAACCATTCAGGGAATAACAGTTTGGTGAAAGTGCCAGTATTATCATCTACAAATCCATGGTCAGGATTTATTATTTAAGAGGGTACATTAGTATCATATAACGTTATATTTTCTGAGAATGCCGTAGCTTTAAAAAAAAAAAAAAAAAAAAAAAAAAATGACCAACTTGTGTTTACTTGGCCTATATTGCCTTGTTTTGGCGTAAGCCGTGCACCTCGATTTTTCTTACTAAAATTATCAAAAAAAAAGCCTGCGCATGGTATTCATGAACATACGGTATTTGAAGAGTGTTGAATGTGGGCTCTTACAGCATCCAGTAACTTGTGCCTCTCAAGATGGCTGCTTATTAGTTTCCTTGATGCTCTTTTGGCATATTTTTTATCTTTTGAACTGGAAAGATATAACACTGTATTCTTAGATGTCCTTCTCCATTACAGTTCCAACATTTTATCTTACTTTTATCATTACTTCATTTCATCTTAAATGTTTCAGTTGCCTGCACTCTTTTTGACTGTTCCACCACTGCTTTCAGCATTGTATCATCTGTAGTGCATACATTCCTTACAGGCTGATGATCATTTCTACTGCTTTTTGCACAGTTTCTACTTTCACAGCATGTACTAGAGCAATTCTTCATCTTGGTGGCATTTGTGGCTACCTATGTGTCTCGCAGCAATAATTTCCGTTATGGCTTTCAGCTGTTTTTCCATTCTCCTGGTTATCAACATTCAAAGAAACCCCTCTTCTGATACTAGTTGTCGCAAGCTATGGAATCATTGATGCTTCTTTGAACGATAAGTCTAGATGAGCAGGAAGACATGAACAGTTTATTAGAAAAACAAGCCCAATGAATAGCACACACAACATAATAATGGTTGGAAATAACTCAAGAACGTGGATATGTAGGAATTTCTTAATACACAAAATAAATTGTCAAATTAATCATATCTTTCTCAGAGTAAAGATTCATAGTTTGGCTAATCTCTAAGTGTCACAGTTAATTTGCAACTGTTTTACAACTGAACTACCTTAACCTTCCAACTCATTTTTATACTGTGTAGCAAGTGCTCTGGAAACTTCTGGAAGAATCTGTCATGGGGCTTCGAAAATATCAAGTGAGAAATCACCAAATGTCATCAACTCGATGACAAAAATTGTTGTCAAAGGCCCCTTAAGAATGAAGTTTCTCGAGTTCTAATTGAGCTATTTGTTACAATTCCAAAACTGCTGTACTCGGAATTAAAAGAATTCTTAGCAACAAATAAATACTTAAATGCAAGACATGTAGATACAAGTTACATTAAACACAAAATAAACCATAAAATTACTATTATAAAAACAATAAATAAGTAAAAGAATACAAAATACAACAACAATACACAAAATCATATTTACAACAATGTTTCTTATTTGCTTCCCAGTAAATAGTAAAATAGATATTTTTTATAATGTTTTAATAATTGTATTGTATTTATATTAAATCTATATAATGATTTATTTGCTCATATTTATTATTTTATATTTTTTTTTTGTTAATCAAAGTCGGTGGGCATTAAAAATAAAATTTTAGTTGGAATCCTGTTTAATGTAAAATTTGAACAATACATAGGGTTATTATTTTTAAATTAATGCTGCTACACAATAATTGTTCATAATAATATTACTATCAATCCAAGAATGGAACGCACTGTCAGCATTGCAATAAAAACTCATAAGAAGATACATGTGGGGATTGCTGATTTCCTGAAGAAAACTAACTCTCAAAAGGACTTTTAATTGCAGCAGCTCTTGTGGACTTTACAAAACAAAATGTGCTGGTCAGGCTTGCTAACATAAGTAATAGGCCCTTGCACTTTTATGAAGTGCAACTCTTGCGCAAGTAAACGCGGTAGTTGGATAGAGTTAATAACACATGCACATTAAAAAAAAAAAAGAGATTGGTTGTGTTTCGCTTTGTGCTGGTGTCTCTATTGGAAGCAATTTCTATTTCATTAAAAATGAGAAAGCTTTCACATAGAATTTTATTGAAAACACTTTTATTGTAATTGCACAGCAGCGGTCACACATTAAACAATCAGGTGTTGGGAACCCCTGATGTACAGGAATACGACATGAAAACAAGATCCATTATCAGTTTTAAAATAGATGCTTTAGATCTCAGGTTCTCAAGGGATAGGTATGGACCCCCGAGGGGGCGATGAAGTTTTAAAGGGGAGTCATTCAGTATCAAGAGGTTGATTGGGTTTCACTAGATGAATTTGCACAGGCTATTGGTCGATGTAATGAAGATCCTATTGATTATGAAAAAATATTAATGTTGCAAAATTAATAACTGTTTTAATATTGAAACAGTAAAAAAATCGTGTGAAATAAATGTAAGAGGAAAATAAAAATATTATTTGATACTTAAAATAAATATTTTTTAAATGTCTCAATATTTATGCAAAAAGTGCAATATTAAAAAGTAAAATGCAGGAACACAAGAGAACAAGCACAATTACAAAAGTATGAAGAATGTAAAATTGGTATGTAAACAGAAGATGCATTGTTATGTACTAGCCCCTAGCAAAATTAAAAAATTTTAATGTTTTAAAATGTTACACAGCACGAATTAGGAAACAAAATTATTATTTTAGCTATGTACTTTTAATTAATAATTGTTTCATTTAGTGAATTTGCTTTCTAAATTTCTCAAAAATTCTGTAACTATTTATTTTCTCATTTTAACATTTCACTACTTTTGGTTTTGTGTAATTCTTAACCCTTGCATCTAGGGATTACGAAACGTGAATTGAGTGATTGAAGAGTTAGGTTTAGGAGCAACTTCCCCTTAAAAAGATCTCTCTACTGCCTGCTCAACAATTATTCATTTTATGCAAATTAAATTTAGTTTTAGAAATTTTTTTCATATATTTTCATGCTTCCACTTTATTTATTTATGCTTTTACTAATTAGTTTCTAATATATATATATATATATATATATATATATATATATATATATATATATATATATGAATTACAGATTCACACCATCAGAATAAGCCATCAGCTTCTCCTGCACAGACACAGAATCAGGTTAACCATCATCCAGTAACTGTCCAAACCACAAATAGTTTGACAAGTAGTGACACCTACCCAGTCAATTCCACTGGTGCTGCTAACTTCCCAGATAGCAAGGCTGATATTGACCGAGACAGGACTTCACCTGGTTCAGATAGCAGTACTCACTCAACGAGGTAGTTTCAGTTCATATTCTTGTATTTAGTAACAATAATTTGAAGTAAGTGATGGAAATGTTAAGTAAAATTTATTAATTATACTCCTTATTACATTAAACAGACAGAGTGTAAATGAAAGAAGAAAGCTGTAAAATATGCAAATTTTGGTGCAATTTGTAAAGCCTTTTTTATGGGGTTTAATTTATTACTGCATTATTATTTAAAAAAATTATTTAAAATTACTGCAAAATAATTATTATTTAAAAAAATCCTTGATTTAACTGAGTATCTACAAGTAGTTGTACTTTATGAAGTGAAATAAAACAGTTCAGTTTGTTCAACTTAAAATGTTAATTAATTTTTTAAGTAATGAATATGTTTTCTTACTGTTTAACAGATCTGAATTAAAGAATTTAGAAGTATATTTTTACGTATTCTTTAAAATTATTTTTCTTTAATTCTGGGAGCAAGAAAACTTTTTTAATTTAATTTTATGAAGACGTTGGGTGATAAGTACTAATTTATTTTTCAATCACATGTTGCATACATAATGTTTTTCCATAAATTGTTTTAAGACAGACTTGAAATATTGTTAATTTATACCTTTGCAGACTAAATATTTAATGATAAAATTTAATATTAGGCTGTTTTAATAGAAGTTGTTTAGTATGTTGTTTAACTTTGTTCAGATCTCTCATTTTATTGAACTTTTATGCATAAATTTTATTGAAAATTTTATGTGTATTACTTTTAACTTAAGTTTTCAATATCTGTTAGGCACGACAGCCCAACTTCTAGTGTAAGCAGTTTACATAGTTTAAGTGCAGCTGGGACAAGTTCATTAGCTACTGCGGCCCTAAAGCCATCCATCCCTTCATTAACTCCTTCATTAGCAAATTATTATAGAGAAGACCTCATTTCTCATGTTGTGGGTTGGCAGGCCGACCATGCTGAGCGCCAGGTATGTCTGAACTTCTTATTGCATTTTTATTCTGTTTGAGCAAAGATTTAAAATTACAAATTAAATCTTGAAATTTCATATGGTGGTTGTATCATATTTTGGAGCTTTAAAAGCTTGGCATTATTATTTTTTTATGAACATTTTTCTTTGTATTTTAGCAATTAAGAATTGTTAACAGTTAATGTATGTGTTAAGGTACATTAACTGTTTCTACAAATGAGGAAAATGTATGAGTATGTCAGACTGGTAAAGTTCTTGTATTAAAAACGAGAAATAGGTGAATTGATGCAATTTCTAGCAAATTCAGCAATGACGACAATGTCATTAGTTGCAGAAATAGTGTTAAGACTTTTTGTCATTAGAAATAAATTAAGAGATGTAATTTTGATTTTTCTGTGTGTTCGTTTAATGAATTGTTCTTTGCAGTTGTTTCCTTTTCATTATTATTAATAAAAATTTTCTTTTTTACTTTCTTAGTTTGATTAATAATAGCAAGGTTTGTACGATCCTAAGTCTTTACGTTTTTTTCGAAACAATTTTTGGCCCTTAAATCCTTAATTTCAGCTGAAACCGGCAAAAGGTCCTTAATTTTACTCATCTAACATTTCTCTTTGTTTCTTTTAATGACTGCCATTTTGAGTGTGAGTTAAAATTTTTGGAGGAATAATTTTTGGCTATGCATTGAAAAATATTATTGGATGGGTTAATGTTTGATTTCTTTTTAATACAAATCGTGGATACTCAAGTTTTAGAAGCACTAAGCCTGCTTTGTTTCAATGTGTGTGTGAAAAGTTCATAAAATATTACATCAAAAACTTTTCTCTTTTGGGGGATATGAATGTAACACTAAATTTGGCAATTTCAAACTCAGCTTGTATATAAATTTGTTATTCGGGGATTTGTGAAATTTTGACAATTTTTTGTTTGCAGATAAAATTATGTTTATAAATGTCATAATAATAATGAATAAATTTTCATTAAATAAATAAATTATAATTACAATTAATATATAAAATTACATTTCAGATCTAACATTAGAATAATTTTGTTCTTTTTAAATTTTCTCCTGCCATATTTTAAAGTGGCATTAATTTCCATTTTGGTGACTTATTGGAATATTTTGAATCTGAAAAATAAACAAGGTAATAAATGCTATTGAGCGCGTTTCTGAAGCGCTTCTTATAAAAAAATTTGATGAGTAGTACACTACGTAACTTCCTTGTACAGAATATTAAATTATGTGCATTTTTTATTGCATTTCATTTATTGGATTGAATTAAATCCTCGTCTTCGATAGCGCATAAACCACAATAGAATAAATGCACTCTTTAAAATCCACTATATTTGTTTACCATAGTGACACTCTTTTGCTAGGTTCACTTAACAACATTACATTTCATTCATTTTATAACCCAGAATGCACAAAATTTATCATCTGAAGAATTGTCTAATCATTGCCAAATGTTCTATTCAAATACTATAATAAATCTAAAACAATGCATAAAAGAAATTAAGCAAACAAAAACAACAAAGAAAAATTTTTCACAGACGGTTCAGTATTTCTCATTCAATTAATTCAGTTTTCACTTCGCGACAAGGCAAAAATACATAAAAACTCAAAATATCTGTATTGAAAATTATGAAGTAAATCTTAAACACTTATTTCCTCAAATAAATTTCAGAATGGATTAAGCATGATTTAATTCTCAATAATAAAAGAAGGCCTTATCTTTGCTATTGCAAAGTAAACGTTTTCTAGATTGGCAACAAACCTACTATTCTGCTGTTTCAAGTGTAAACAAACATGGCCGCCATGGCAAAAATAATTAAGCTTAGCGGCACTTAAACAACTTTTAAATTGTTGATAGTTCTAAAAATGTTGCATGCATATTTATTAAATGCATAAAAACCTTAACCGGAAGATAAGAACAACATAATTCAATCATTTTTAAAGCAAAAAATGCACAGCTTATAAACATATATGAGTAAAGAATCAGAGAATTATAATTCAATTATTTTTAATGCAAAAAATGAACAATTTACAAACATGTAAGAATAAAGAAACTGAGATTACTGAACAGAGTGGATATATATAGTCATATATTTATATACTTTTTGGTGTATCTGATTGCAATTAAAATACGAGGTGCATATCTACATGTTATAGCAATCCTGTATACAAAATTTCAATTTTCTGACCCTACTTGTTTTTGAGTTATGCAAGATATGTACGTACGCATGCACAAACGCTACAAAAAAATTCTCTCCAGAATTAATTTTAAATAAGTTTTATCATTTTTGGGTGGAGGGAAAAAGAGTTCTTTGTTCTGTCCTTAAATGCAGATGTCAGGCCCACCAGTGGCCGAGCGGTAAAGTTGCTGAACACTGGTAGTTCGGTCCGAGGTTCGAATCCCTTGAACGGGCTGGCTGCATGTGTGTTTTCGTGGTTTTCCCCATGTGTAATGTGTATACGAGCCAGTTTTCCTTAGAAAGTCCTCCACGAAGGCGTCCCTCCCCTTAGGCAGATAGCCTTTGAGGCTTTGCGGTAATTAAATAACCTAACTTAACCTAACCATGCAGATGTCATGTAAAAACATCATTAAATATCATCCAATAGCTGTCAGAATGGATATTTTCGTTGAAATACGATACCGAAAATTTATCGCGATTAAAGTACCTTTTTACTTCGTACAAGGAAGTAAAAATACTACTGCAACTATTTAAAACAAATTTCATGTGTCTTTTTATATATTTTTTTTATGCCAAGAGTTTTCCATGTATTGTTTCAGAATATTTAAATGTGTATCAGTTGTCTCTTGAAAATTTTCTTCACCCTTCTCTTTTCTGAATTTTTTCTCAAAAATCTTCTGGCTTTTTGTTCTGATAGAGTTGGTAGGGTAATTTTGCTTTTGGATTTCAGACCTTGCACTTTGAAAGATCTAAAGGCAAGATTTATAGCTTATAATTTTAAAGGCAAGATTCTACAATTTCCAGAACAGTGGGACAAAATGAAAAGTGTCTTCATGGTATTAGCACGTAGTTGATATGTTTTATAATAAATTTGTGATGAATTGTGTATCTTTTGGAGAATTTTTGGAAGAATAATGAAAAGAAAATTATTTCAAGAAACATCAAAGAAAGCTAGCAAATTGAAAACTGACAATTAGAAGATCCATCGTATATGTTTTAGTCCCACATACATACATCAGTGCTTGCTCTAAATTCTAAAAATTTTGCCCTAAATGTTGTTGCTTGGTGCTTCACTAAATTCTAAAAATTCTGCCACATTGGGTCCATCTTTGACCTTATATTATTTTATATTTATTTTCAATGGTCATATTATTAAAGAAATAAAATTAGCAGTTTATTCTATACATTCTAAGTACCAGCAGTTCTTTTAGAATAACAAAAATCTTTTAATCAAATCTGAGAATTCTAAAACTAAGAGGAAATTCATTGGAAAAGAAATTGGTTTTATATGTAGAGAAAAAATTATTCATCAAAGATATGTTGTTGAAACATTAGCAAATTAGGAGATGAAGCAGAGACTTGTGGGAACATTGAGTTGTTTGTTTATTTAAATAAATAAACTTAGAAAAGATGTTAAAGAGAAGGAAATTGATGTAAATTAGCTAAAATATCCAGAAAATTTTTAAGTTAAAAAAACAAAAACATTTTATTGCTACAAAGCATACATTTTGTGTTACTTTTAATGTGTAGTTTTACTAATATAATTTTTAAATCAATACCATATATTATAACTGCAATTATAATGTATGATAGTGATTCTAAAATGAAATAATAATAATATACATAATAGTATTTATTATTAATGCAGTTGTAATTTATGATATTGATTCTATTAAAATGTTCTTTATCCTTTTTAAATGGATATTTTTTAGAAATAGAAAGAAAAATTGTAATTGTAACCATGCATGACTACATAATTTAATTATTTGTAACTAACTGCTCACCCTTAGAACTTATCTGTACATATTAAGATAAGTTGTCTTCTTTCTTTAATTCTTATTGTGTATGCAAGATACAAGACAAAAATGTAAAAATTAACATAAACATTTATTCCTTGCAGCTAATCAGACTTAAAATAAAAATACAAAACAATGGAACTTTATATTAAATACTGTATATTAATTTGGTTACAACTTCAGCAAATGTACCCAAAGCTATGGCATTAACTGGGTCAGGCAAAGTACAGCCAACTTTCAACACTTACTAACATCAGGCGTACATGTCTGTTCTGATCAGTGGCTCTGTGTGTCTGAACAATGAGCTGTGGTGGCAACAGCCCAACCTCTGTTATGAGTCATGCTGATTATTATTTTACTTCATAGTTTAATTTATGCCACTTCACATAAATTTACATATGCCTGTGGATTCTGTAAGTACGTGATGAAATGAGGCATAAAGGAAACAATCAATATAAAGCTGTGAGTAAAATTTAAATAAAAAGCCACTATTCTTTAAAAATACTGTTACATTTTTCTTTTCTGATTCTACTGACACTAGTTGCTGCGTTTCTTCCTTCAGGTTTGTACGGGGTTCGTAGATTTGGAGTGAGTAACGACGACACTTGATGAAGTATCGAAACACACTTTATTTAGGCAATATTGTCAGGACAGCTCCAAAACACGTTTTACAGTTGTCGATAAACTACTATAAACACGCTGACACGATCAGCAACACAGACTTCAGGTTATCAGGCTATCACGGTGGAGACAGATTCCTGCAAAGCACCCGACTCTGCTTTCCAGAGTACAGCTCCCAATTCTGCTTGGTCATTCTCGGAACTCCACGTACTCTCAAGACTCTCCACGCTACAACTCGCAATGCACTCGACGACACACAGAGCACAGCTCCTGACTCTTGGTTCAATCATTTCCGGAGCTCAACATGCTCTCTCGACGATGCAATAACCGCGATATTCTACAAGACTCTTTCAGTGCACTCGCTGGCCGGCTGTCAACGCGATCGCCTCCGCA